ATATTCAGAAAATATAAAAAATGCTCAAAACTCAATAAAAAAACAAAAACTTGAAAAATGCCAAGATTTGATATACATTTCAACAGAGAAGTTCAAATGGCAAATGAGTACATGAAAAGATGCTCAGTCATTATGGAAATGTAAATTAAAACCACAATGAAATACCACTACACATATAGGATAATGGCTAAACTGAAAGAGACTGACGATTCCAAATGTTGATGGGAATACGGAAAACTAGCACTCTCATACCCTGCTGTGAGACTGTAAGACAGAACAACCACTTTGGAAAATAGTTTGGTAGTTTTTCAAAAAGTTAAACATACAACTACCATTTGACACAGCTGTTCCCCTTTTAGATATTTACCCAAGAGAAAGAAATGCATTATGTGCACGCAAAATTTGTACACAAATGTTAACAGCAGCTTTATTTGGAATAGATCAAAACCAGAAACAACCCAAATGTCCATCAGCAGATGAAAGAATGAACAAACTTTAGCCATATAATGAAATACTACTTGTCAACAAAAAAGAATAAACTGGTGATAAGTCCAACAACATTGATGAATCTCAAAATAATTATGCAAGTAAAAGAGGTAAAAAGAGAGAGAGAATGTATACTACATGTTTCCATTTATATAAAATTCTAGAAAATGCAAATTAATCTATAATGACACAAATCAGATTAGCAGTTGCCTGGGAACTGGAAGGAAAAAGGGCAAGGAAGGGGAAATTTCAAAGGGGCACAAGGCAACTTTTTGAGGTGATGGATATGTTCATTATTTTGATTGTGGTGATAGTTTCACAAGTGTAAGCATGTCAAAATGTACTGAACTGCACACTTTAAATATGCACAGTTTATCATATGGCAATTATATCTTAATAAAGCAGTTAAACTTTTTTCATGGCAAATGGATGATCTGAAAGATTATTCTGTGCAGCTCTGAATTGTTTTGGTCAAAGTCAACTTCTACTATGTGCAAGAATATTAAAATAATCAATTCTTTTGAAAAGCTGAATGACTTCTTCAGCAGAAATATGCAAAAGCCAATGAAATTATTTGCATTCACAATATTTTTGATATGTTGATGGCTATTAGCAAATTTTTTTTTTTGATGCAACTCAGTAATTTTTATTGCAACTGGAAGACAATACATCACAGAAACTTTATGGTAGGTCTGGGGAAAAGTGTTATTTACAATAAATGATGAAATAGTTTGTCTTTGGCAATATGATTACATACGAAGAATGCAAAATGCAAGTAAGGATGCTTCCAAAGCAACACCATCAGGTTTGGCTGATTGCGCCTATTAGAAAATTTTTGATGAACAAGTGAACATCAAGAAAGTACACTAGGCCGGGCGTGGTGGCTGACGCCTGTAATCCTAGCACTCTGGGAGGCCAAGGCGGGAGGATTGCTCGAGGTCAGGAGTTCAAGACCAGCCTGAACAAGAGAGAGACCCCCGTCTCTACTATAAATAGAAAGAAATTATCTGGACAACTAAAAATATATAGAAAACAATAGCCGGGCATGGTGGTGCATGCCTGTAGTCCCAGCTACTCGGGAGGCTGAGGCAGGAGGATCGCTTGAGCCTAGGAGTTTGAGGTTGCTGTGAGCTAGGCTGATGCCACGGCACTCTAGCCTGGGCAACAGAGCGAGACTCTGTCTCCAAAAAAAAAAAAAAAAAAGTACACTAAAAATGAACAATCATACCTTGATTTGAGCAAAGGGTCTTTCATAACCTCCAACATACAGAAGGCCAACATTCTGAGGAAGTAACCTACAAAGGAAAAAAAAAAGCACCATTTATAAAATATTCTTCCTTAAATGTAAGGCTGAATAATTAATAACATTTATATAATAAATATGATATAGATATTGATACATATAATTTCTATTATATTGAAGGATATGATATTGTGAAAAAATATTTATATAATTATTATCTTTTACTCTATGAAATAGTAACCAGCAAAAGAATAATTTTATATTTCAGAAAATGATGGGTAAAATGAGGAGAATGAAAACTGGAATGTATTTAATAACTCCAAAAAAATTACACAGTTGCCCCTTGAACAACATGGGTTTGAACTGTGCAGGTCCACTTACATGCAGATTTTTTTTTCCAATAAAAATTACATCAAGTGTGCCTGCCTCTGCTTCCCCTTCTACCTCCTTCATCTCTTCTGCCTCTGCCACCCCTGAGACAGCAAGATCCTCCTTTTCCTCAGCCTACTCAACATAAAGATGGCAAGGATGAAGATCTTTATGATGATCCACTTTCACTTAATGAATAGTAAACATATATTCTATTTCTTATGATTGTCTTAATAACACTTTATTTTCTCCAGCTTACTTTACTGTAAGAATACAGCATATAATACAAATAACATGCAAAATATGTGTTAATTAACTGTATATGTTATCTGTAAGGCTTCTGGTCAACAGTAGGCTATTAGTTAAGTTATGGGGGAGTCAAAAATTTTATGTGGATTTTTGACTATACAGGGGGTTGGTACACCTAAGCCCCACTTTGTTCAAGGGTCAATTGTACTATACATAGTGTCTCCGGGAAAGAAGTAAAAGAAGTAATGCATACATCTAAAAATTTATAAGGCTTCAATTCCAAAAGCACTCATTGCATGTCTATACTATGCATTACAGGAGATAATACACATCTAAATAATTCAGTACCAAAATCTAACAGGAAAATATGACATATAAAGAATCCTAACAAAAGGTAGCTTCTGTAAAGAGGTATAACAGAGACATTTATATTGAAAAGTAGTAAAGTAAGAGGTACCTGCTATGGAGGAATCTGTAAAAGTTTGAATAGATAGGATTTGGGCTTAGCCTTAAAGCATGGATAACAAACACAAAGGGAGAAATTTAAACAAAGTCCTGAGAATACAGAGGATTTGAGACAAAGAGTAGACAAATATGACTGGAGTAAAGGATAATTTAGTTGGAGATAAGAACCCACAGCAAGTTTAGAATGAACCATAAAAATTTCAAATTCCATATACATTATTTTGTAAGCAATATGGAGTCAAATTTTTAAAAGACGTATTTATTTCTTATAAAAACAATAAATACACATGGAAATTAAAATCAAACCATATAGAGAGTATAATATACAACAATAATGGTTGTCATCCCTTCCTTTCTATTCCTAAGTTCTAAGAGGATTGGGAATGAAGAAATACCATCATTAGAACTGTGCTAGTAGAATGTACAGAGAGGAACTGGTAGTGGGGCAGAGTATGGGAAGGATACAATTAAATATTCTTATTTAATCAAGCAAATGTAGATATATCTCATTATATTTTACCATAAATTTTTTCATAATGGACATTGTGAATAAATGGACACAACTCCAGTCTGAATATGATTGTACATAAAGAAAAAGAATTGACAATACTCTTTGCTCAAAGCCAGTAGGCCAAGACATCTCTCAGAGTCTAGATAGTGAAAATTAATGATCTTTTAAGGTAGATGACAGAATTCTAATGATCTCTAGAATGGCTGTAAATTCTGTTGCATGAATCTGAGAATGGAACACTGAGTAGTATCTAAAGTAAAGAAAAAAAACTGTAAACTCAAAACAATCAAACAAAAAATTCTCAGTGTGCAACATTGGTCTAATCATAGAAAATTAGAACACAAGATTATCATAGCCAGTTTTTCCATTCTTGTGATACTTCACTTAGTAGAATGGGCTCCCGCTCCATTCTTTCCCATTAAACTCAACTATTATCAAGTTTAAAAAAAAAAGAAAGAAATTATCATAACCATCTCTCTTAACACATTAACTGCCATGTGAGTTGTATTTAAATCACGCTAGTTTTGAGCCCAGGCCTCATGAAGCAAAACCCTGCAGCCGGTTTGTGAAAATCTTACTTGCTAATGTTCTTATTGTTACAATTGACAATTTAATTCTAAAACCATAGATTGTGTTGCATATAACTCACGCACAGAAAACAATAAAAAAGTAACAAATTAGAAAGGATCATTTTGTTTTAATAAAACACTGTGGCCCCAGGGAAAAAAATTTTTTTTCTAGTGTGGCACTCAATGTGTTAAATCCTGTTAGTGCCAAGTACAGTAATGTGTGCCTGCAATCCTAGGTACCCGGGAGGATGAGGCAGGAGGATTGCTTCAGCCCAGGAGTTTGAGACCAGTCTGGGCATCATAGTAAGACTTTACTCATCTTTAAAAGAAGAAGAAAAAAAAAAACAAAAACAAAAAACTGTTAGTGACCTCAAAAAACCTATCTCAACAATTGCAAGGTATACATTTATTCATAATTTAACTTCTCTAAAATTGAGATGCCTCTGAGACTCAATGGTGTCTTATAATTGTTGTCACCAGGTGACAGTTATGAGGTAGTTGTGTTACTACCCTCCACTGACATGGTCTAGTAAGACCACGAAAGCACGCTCTCAAAGCAACTTAGAGTCTATGAAATAAGGCAAATAGTCAGTTTCCTAGGAACATCCTCTGTTCCCTACATTCTACAAAGACCTATAAAGTATTAAAGGTTACTAAAAGAAATTAATAGCTGACGAACATGATCCTGAATTAAACCAACTTAGCAAAAAGTTGGTTTACATTACATTTGGAATGTATGTGATAATTTGTAATATAAGTCATCACATACATGTCAAATATAAGAAGGCATTTGTTTACTAGATTCAAGTAGAAAACATAGGAAATGTTCCCAAATCTCAACAGTGAAATAGAGAATTTCATTGCCATCATTTGACAAATAAAAAATTCATCTAACTAAAAAACTTTAACTTTCTCCCAAATCATTCCTGTTATCACAAATTGAATGTTAGTTATACATGGTACTGGAAATTTATTTCTCATATAACAAATGTTCACAGAAAGCTTGATAAACCCCCTTTAGAAGACTGTTCACACAAAGAGATGCTAGAGAAGGAAGAGAATAAAAGCTGGATGACGTTTAAAAATCAATATGCCTCTAATTACTATGCCTATGCATTTCAGGAAGCTTGCTAATATACTACTTAGTGTGTCCCCTCTTTCAATTTGCCTATCTAATAACTACCTTTTCCTAAACAAATTCCTTAAGTATATCAGGTAGATCACTTTTAAAATACTGTTCTTTCTTATTCACGTACCTCTTTCTTACTCATTTTTCCTTACTATATACTAAAGCCTTCATTTAAGTGGGTTTAATATATATCATAATGTAAAAGCCTGCTATGCATAATATAATTAATACTTTGAAAGCAATGAATCTTAGCCACTAGACTACCAGGGAGCTGCAATAATTAATACTCTGAGAACACAAATTCCCACTTTTAAAATGGAACATTTCTTTAAATACTTTTACCTTTCAAAAAATTATTCTGCCAAATTGCATACATAATTATTGTCAAGTAACAGGTACCATTTCATCATGTCAGGGTGCTTATGTGCGATACAGCAATCATACATTTTAAATCCCAAGAGTTAAGGCATTAATTCAGCAGTGATAGATGCATTTATATGTATATTTTAAAATAGAAATCCTGACTCATTTAGTACTAGGTAATTGTTTTGCCCTTAAGTTAGGTGAACATTATCATAACCTTTATAAAAATGCTAACAACCTCTAAGATATTTGCATGTAACTAAATGCTTCTAAAGTATGGCTACCAAAGAGGATGTTTTTGGAAAGTAGCAATAAAGAGAAACTGTGGGGGGAAAAACCCTATTATAGCTTTGGAAAAACTGAGACTAGGCAAGACTAATGTTCACTTTGCTTTCAATTTCCTAAACACAAATATTAACAAATATCTATCCTAAAAAGGAAACCCCAAAATTGTTTCCAGAAAAGTTTCTCACATAAAAGTAAAATCTGTCGGGTAATAGAATAAATACTATTTAAAAGAACTTTATTTGCCATATACTGGTGATACATCAGACATAGAAAAACTGCTTTAAAAGTAAATTGAGTCTATAATTATTGCAAATTAAAAGTTTAAAAAAGGTCAGGGGTTCTTCCTAAAAATAAGCTAAATAACTCAGAATTAACTGTTCTGTCGATAAGCTATAACTATAGTGTCCACTATCAGATATATTTTTAAATTGCAACAAAACACCTTGAAACAATGTACAGTACCTTGAATACTGAATTACATAAAATCCCACTTCATAGCCAGACAATAAGTTATCCAAATACCAGTCTATATCCAATATACCTACTACTAAACAAACAAACACAAATCAAATGCACTTAAGATAGGGTCAACAGTGCCATTTTGAATTCAAGAAAATGCATATTATTGAGAAGGCTTATATTATTCTTTGAATCTTCTAGTAGGATGTAAATGTAAATAGTTTATTCCAGGCTGGGAGTGGTGGCTCATGCCTGTAATCCTAGCACTCTGGGAGGCCAAAGCAGGAGGACTGCATGAGCTCACGACTTGCAGACCAGACTTAACAAAAGCAAGACCCCGTCTCTACCAAAACTAGAAAAAATTAGCCAGGTGTGGTGGCGCACACCTACAGTCCCAGGTACTCAGGAGGCATCGCTTGGGCCTAGGAGTTATGATCACACCATTTCACACTATCCAGGGTGACAGAGCGAGAGAGACTCTGTCTCCTAAAAAATCAGTTAATAAATAGATACAAAATAAAAAGTATATTCCATAAAGTGTATTTTGAACAAATAAAAATAATGCAGATCATAATACAATAATTCAGCTAGAAATCAATAACATAAAAATAACCAGAAAATCCCCATGTCTAAAAAGACAGAAGTATGCT